AAGAAGAAGAAGAAGAAGAAGAAGAAGAAGAAGAAGAAGAAGAAGAACTGCACTGCCTCTTCTGGAATGCACGGCTCAAGTGATTCAGCGGACGGTTGAATTTGTACAATGGTGAGGAAAATTTATTCTGCAGAGATTCAAAAATACTTGTTTAGGATGATTACACCTTAGCTTAGACTTCCCATGCTCCTTTTCAAGGAAAGATGCCTCTTAGTGGCAAAGATATTAAACTGTCAGCTTTCCTTTGTCTCTGATAATCCTGCAGTAACATTGTGGGAGGGGAGGTTTTCTAGAGGGGTAGGTTGGAGGGGTATTTTTCCCGTAATAGGTAAAGCACACGGTTGATGGTGGGGTGGGGTTAAAAAAAAAGCAAAGAATCACCTTTCCCAAAATAATATTTGTCCATCAAAGCTCAGCAACACATTTGTAATACAAACGGAATAACAGACTTGGAAGTCCTCTAGGCTGCTGGGAGCAACAGAAATGGTCACCTGAGGATTGCTGTCATGCTAACTGCCCAGGCTTTCTCTAATTTTAGAACCCAGAATCCTCAGCCAATCTTGTAATTGGACGGGAGAATATTGTTCGCTATGGGCTGGTTTTGTCCCAAACTGGAAATAATTAAAAACGCAGTCAGGTGACTAAAGGACGCTGCAAATGGTCGTACATGGAGGAAGAGTGGTGGTCGGAACTCCAGAACCAGCTTCTAAATATGACCAAGGAGGCCCATCGTAACTTTCAATGGCCGCTAAATGACCAGTCGTAAGTGGAGAACTACATGTGTACTAAATTTCTGTATAACCCCATCCAGGATTGCTGTTCATACAGAGTTCAGTGGTGTTTTCCTTGGAAAATGAAACTGCAGCCAAACAAGAAGTGGCTAAGGCTCCGAACTAAAATTTCAGTTCTGAAACAATCAACTTTTCAAACATCCGTTTTCTTTCTGCTCAAATAAATTCCTGTCTTTTCTTTTTCTTTTTTCCAACGGAAGCAGTCCTGTGAGAGTAGGAATTCAAAGCCCACTAAAACTACAAAACATTCTTCATTTTCAACGCTGTCAGCATACATTTCCCTTTCCTATTGATTTTCTTTTGGGGAGGGGGGGGTGTTCTTATTCTCCCCCCTGGTGTTTCCTTATTTTTTTTTAAAAAAAAAGTGCCTTCTTTTTCCCTTGACCTCTGACTTCAATCACTAGGACAATCTTTCCAGGCAGCAAAATCCCTGAAGGATTGAGGCACTGCCTCAATTCACCGGGTGATTCTAATTGTCTTTTCATTCTGCACATTAAGCCTGATTATTGTATTAATCCATTTTCTGGATTTGCACAATAATAATAATAAAAAAGCCCTGCTTTGCAAAACACTCTACAACAGCTAGACACAAGAACAGTTTTCCACTGAAAGCCATCACTCCGCTAAACAAATAATCCCCTCAACACTGTGCAACTATTTACTAAGTCTGCATTACTATTACTATTAATCCTTCCATCCTTCCTTTCACCCATCTCCTCCCACTTATGACTGTATGACTGTAACTTTGTTGCTTGTATTCTAATGATTTTTACTGACTGTTTCCTAGTATGATTTGATTGCTTATTGTACCCTATGACTATTATTAAGTGTTGTAACTTATGATTCTTGACTCATGATGAATGTATTCTATTCTTTTATGTACACTGAGAGCATCTGCACCAAGACAAATTCCTTGTGTGTCTAATCACACTTGACCAATAAAGAATTCTATTCTATTCCATTCCATTCCATCCCATTCCATTTTCTATTCTATTCTAATTTCTATTCTATTCTATTCTATTCTATTTTCTATTCTATTCTATTTTCTATTCTATTCTAATTTCTATTCTATTCTCTATTCTATCCTATTCTAAATCCCACGCAGAAACACAAAAATCCACATTAATGCTAACTTAGCTTCCCAAGTTGCGTTGAAACCATTGCCTTTAAAACTTACATCAAACCTACAACGGAAACTGAATGGCAATTTCTCCCTTTGTTGTCTACTCCCAGGAAATTTCCTACTTGTAACAATCCTTGTCAGTTGACCTAAGATTAAAAGAAATAAACCAACAGATCAATCTAGGAAACGTTGCTAAGCAGGAGTGGATATTCTCCTTCGTTCCCATCATCGTCCATCCTCAAAGT